GATGGGCATTTAGGTTGTTTCCAGCTCCTTGCTATTGTAAACAAAGCCGCAATAAAGTTGGTCTTTTTAAAGACAGAATCTAGACTACAGTGTTGGGCAAGACAAGAAGCTTTTCCAGGGGTTCCAGAAAGGAATTTAGAGATCCCTGAAGTAGGGGGAAACAGACCCAGGATGCCTGAGATTGCTGGGAATGTCCAGAAGGCAGGGACCCTTCCCTGGAGAGTTTGTGGATGTGAGGGAGGGAGCAGGTGAAAGTGATTATGAGGTGATAGCCTGTCAGTCCTTTTTACAGAAGAGGAATACGTAATACTCCTTGAGTTACCAGGTGGGCAAGTTGCAGCATGCTGTTTAAAGTACGATCTTCATCTAGAGTTCAGTATGTGTTAAATTCTTTATCCTCTTAGCAGGTCTTGACTGTTTCTGCCTGACCTCGATGAGTCACCATGTCTTCTGAATCAAGCAAAAAACGGAAGCCTAAAGTAATCCGAAGTGATGGAGCCCCGACTGAGACAAAGCGGCCTCGAGCTGACACCGAGCAGGTGAGACCAGCCAGGGTTGCTGTGCTATTGAGAGAAGATAGATCGTGGCCAAGCCTTGCCGTGGCATTGTGGACTTCAGGGAGGGTTCTGCAGGCAACAAACTCCTGGGTAATGTCTGAATTGCCAGGGGCCTGGAATTCTCTTGATTCTGCAAACTTGAATTGTCTACATCCACTTTAGCTATGACATTGTAAGATCTGTTTACCAAACTTGTAGTGTTGTGTGTCATCGAGTTAGAACTGACCCATAGCTGGCCCTTCTCCAGCAGGTTTTCAGAGGCAGTTAATCGCTTGGGAGGAGATTGACCATTCTTCTCCTGCAGAGCTGTTTGCGGATTTGAACTGTGTGTCTTTGAGATTGCAGCGCAGCTTCTTGCCACGAGGCCATCAGAGTTCCCTTGTATTAGACATCACTAATACTTGAACAGGAAGCTCTGGTGGCAAACGTGATAATGGGTACCCATGGTGGACAGTGTTGCTTGGAGCTTCCCGACTAAAACAAGCCTGGAAGCAGGTGCGGCATCCACTTCCGAAATAGCTTGCCTCCGGAAACTCTATGTACGAACAGTGCTCAGACCTTTCGTTCATAGGGGCGCTATCGAGTCTTTGACTCGATGGCACCTAACAATAACATCAACAACAGTACTTGAACAGGAAGCTCTGGTGGCTTGTTGTTGATTGCTGTTGAGTCGAGCATGACTCATAGTGACCCTATGAACAAAAGACTAGAAGCCTTCATATAACTATTGTCATTTCACAAAGTTCATAGAGTTTCTAGAGGCTAGTGGCTTAGTAATAGAGAATTGTCTTGCCAGCCCAAAAGTACAAGGTCGAATCCACCAGCTGCTCCTTAGGAGAAAGATGAGAATCTCCTGCTGTTCAATTTACTGACTTGATTGTTGATGGATCAGCTGCGTCTCTTCTGACTTGACGGTACATAAGAACAGCAGTGCCTGAAGCGGAAGCTCCTTTGCTGTAGTCTATACAGAGCTTCACAGCTCTCTGGAAGACCATACTTTTCTGGCAGTTTGAATCATTCTGAAGAAAAACGGACAGTTTCCTCTTGTGTGATGTACAGCCTCCCCAAATCTGCTGGAAGGTCAGCTGTGAGTTGGTTCTGACTCAACACCAATGACTTTCTTTCTTTTAAATGTTTGAATATCTAAAACCTGGTGGTATAGTGGTTAAGTGCTCATCTTCAAAGTGAAAGGTTAGCAGTTCAGATCTACCCAGCAGCGCCATAAGGAAAGACCTGGCAACCTGCTCTCGTAAAGATCACAGCCCCCCCCCCAAAAAAAAGCCCCATGAGACAGTTCTCTCAAATTTGAGGTGACGCTGAGTTGGAGTCAACTCAGTACCCCTAGCAGCAGTGGCTACACAGAAGATATTGAAGCATGATGTGCATCTGCAGTTTCCCCAAAGACCTGAAGAAGGTCGTCCATCTGGCACACTGCTGGGCCTCAGTAGCCGGACCATATGCCCCAGAACCTCTTTTGTGACCCAAGAGCCCATGTGTTCAGCAGGGTCTCTTTTCCCCCACCTCCTTGTTGTGGATCATCAGATCAGATCCACCTGGCACAGGAGGATGTTACCCCTCCTTCTCCAATGAAGCATCTGGTGGATTTGAACTGCTTGCCTTCCGAATTGCAGCACAGCTTCTTGCCACTAGGCCACCAGAGCGTCTTTCTTCACTTCCTTTTGGTTCTTTTCTCTCTTAGAATTCGTCACATGAATTTTTGTCTTTCACTAGAACAGGGAAATAACTTGAAATAAAAGGCAGTGGTTTCTTCAGATTGCGTAAATTAAGCTTAATCTGCAAAGCCTAATAATTTTTTTTTGTCATTGATCCTGGCTCTTGAATCTCATGTACCCTGTCTGCACTGAAGGGCACTCTGACGGCGTAGTGTGCTGCTGCCCCTAAGGCTGCATATCCACCAGTGGCTCCTTGGGAGAGAGATGTGCAGACTGCTCCCGGTGGGACTTACAGCCTTGGAAGCCCAGTGGCATGTTGCTGTGAATCTCGCCTGACTTAGCAGTAGTGAGTGAGTGTATGAATCACAGAGTTTGCTCTAAAGCCTGAGAGATCTTTCAGTTTCTGCTCAACCTTGCTTGATAGCATTAATACCCATCAGTAGTGGTATTGTGTGCTATTGAGTCAACTAACTTGTAGCTTATCCTCCAGCTGATTATCAAAGGCTGTGAATTGCCCATCTTCTTCTCATGGAGCAGCTGGTAGATTTGAACCACCTGCCTTTGGGTTAACAGTACAACTCCTGAGCCCCCAGAGCTCTTTTCAGTAGAGATTTTCAGAGTTCCCTTCAACAGGGATTTGCTTATATGAATTCTGTCTTTATGACATTTTGAACTATCATGTATCCATTTTAATGGCATTCTGCATTTATTAGCATTGGAAGTTATAGTAACAAGCATGAACGAGGTGATCCCATTGTGCTTAAAAAGAAAATGTGTATTTGCCTCATATTAATACTGGCATTTGTTTTAGGCTATGAAGTTACAGGCACGTTTTTATTTTTGATACTCCTTTGTATGTCTTGAGTCCTTGAGACCAGTCTTTTGTTTTTGATACTCTTTTGTGTGTCCTGAATCTTTTATAATCACAATGGGTAAAAAAGGTTCCTCTCTGAAAAGAAGAAAAACATTAGATTTAAGGATCAAGTTCTTTGGAGGCTTGATTGCGGACATCATTGCTGCTGTTTTTTATGTAGCAACAGGTATAGTGTCTTGGTCCCTGACACAGAGACTCTCAGTCCCTACTTAGGACCTCTTTCTTTGCCTCTACAGGAAGGGAAATACTACAGCGAGGAAGCAGAAGTGGACCTTCGAGACCCTAGTAGAGACTATGAACTGTACAAGTACACATGCCAGGAGCTCCAGAGGCTCATGGCTGAGATCCAGGACCTGAAGAGCAGAGGCGGCAAGGACACAGTAAGTTGTGGGCCTGGGTGGCCATGAGCCTGCTGCGTCTATACACATGGCCAGGCTAGGATATTTTTTTGCTTGAGTGGTTTCACAATTTCATCTTTTTCTATATATCCACCAGTGGCCATGACCAGGTGGGACCTCTCAAGCTCCAGTGAGCTTCCTGTTAATTTGCTGAGTGATATTATAATATCATCCAGTCACCAGTTACAGTAATGAGAGCACAGAGTAATTCCTTTGTTTCCACAACCATAATTTATGCTAATGTTAAGTGCCAGGGGTTTTTGCTAGGTGTGGAAAAATTTCCTTAATGTTGAAAGAATACCAAGCCACACAGACTAGTTGCCATTGAGCCACTTTCAACTCAGCAGTGACCATAGGCGACCGACTAGAAGTGGCCCGTAGAGTTTCTAAGGTTTTACTCTTTAAATCTGAAAGCAGATTATCACATCTTTCTCCTGCACTGTGGCTGGTAGGTTTCAGTTGCCAGTCTTTAAGATAATAACCAGGAACTTAATTACCATGCCACCATGGCTTCCTGTGTTTGTCTAGAGACCAGAAGTGAAATTACTAGATACCTTCGAAGGCACAGAAACTAAACATTGTGGCTAAAAAAGAAATGTTGTTAGGTGCCATCAAGTTGACTATGCCTTGTAGCAATGCAAAAAACAACAGATCAGAACCTGGCCTAAAAACAAAACAGTAATTGTACCAGCAATCTCCCTTATCTGTGCTTATACTGCCTCATATTGAGAAGGTAATCATAGCTGTTTGGTTTTATTTTAGCCAACTTGCAACGCTGTCAGTTTTTTTACTTAAATTATTTTCTAATGCAAGGAGGGACCAGTCCTTGGAGAGGGACAACATGCTTGGGAGGGTGGAGGGACAGCACAAGAGAGAGGAAGACCCTCAGTGAGATGGATTATTTCAATGACTGGGGTAATGAGGGTAGGTGTGTCAAAGACAATAAAGTTGACACATGATAGAGAAGGTTTCAGGGCTGTTGTACATTGGGTCGCTATGAGTTGCAAGCAACTCTGTGGCATATAACAACAACAGTGTATTGAAAGGGATCAAATTTTATTGGATGAGATTATCATTGAGATCTCTATACAACATTCCAAGGAACAGATTTTGGTTTGATATTGTTTTCCCTCCTGGAAAACCCACATGATCTCAGTAATTCCTTCCTGTACAGTTCAAAGACACTGGTTACTTTCTTCACATTGTGTCACCCTTCTCAATGACCTTTCACAAACTGCTTCACAACATTCACACAAGTTTCACTACCCCTAAATTTCTCATTCATCCTTTTGAGCTTCTGTTATCAACATGATCACAAAATAGGTAATTAAAAAATGTATAATGCCTTTCCTCGTTACCTAGTGATACTATAACAGAACTAGCACAAGTGGATGGTTTTAGCAAATAAATTGAGTCTCTCACACGTATCAGGGGGTTAGAAGTTCAGATTCAAAGCACTGGTTCTAGGGGAAGGTGGTCTCTGTGTGTGGTTTTAGGGGAAGGCGTTCTCTGCGTGTGATTCTAGGGGAAGGCTTTCTGTGTGTGGGTTCTAAGGGAAGGCGTTCTCTGTGTGTGATTCTAGGAAAAGGCATTTCTGTGTGTTGGCCCTAGAGGAAGGTCCCTGTCAGTTTTCAGCATCTGTGGACCCAGTGCTCCTTGGAGAGGTCCATGTGTTTTGGCCTTGCTGTCTCTCTGAGTCTAGGAGGTTCTCAATGCAGGACCCCGAGTCCAAATGATGAGCTTCACTCTCTGCTCACACAGGCCGTTGAGATCGAAGAACGGCGGATCCAGAGCTGTGTGCATTTCATGACCCTCAAGAAGCTCAATCGGTTAGCTCACATCAGGTTGAAGAAAGGACGAGATCAGACCCATGAGGTAGGAGTTTTGACGATCTTGTTTTCTCCCCCTCTTGCACCATGTCTCTGTTCCTTTGACCCCCTTGTCTGAGTTTGCAGCCCCACTCATGACTTAACCCTGCTCACCTGTGCCCTCTTTCTCTTTTCAGGCCAAGCAGAAAGTAGACGCCTATCACCTGCAGCTGCAGAACCTGTTATACGAGGTGATGCACCTTCAGAAAGAAATCACCAAATGCCTGGAGTTTAAGTGAGTTTGGGAGGACAGGGCCCAGGCACAAATAATCTCTCAGTAAACAACTTTTTGCGTGGTGCTAGCTGAGATCTGCTGAGCTTGGAAAGGCTATAGAATCTGGAAGAAGGGTGAATGGACCCCAAAGCAGTCTTTTCAGGCTGCACAGAGAACCTCATAAGTCTGCCTGATCCTTTGCAGTTCTGAGCCCCATTCTGGACAAAACACAGGACACCACAGAGGCATCCTCTTACCACTCTGATTTCCTGACTTGTGGGTATGGTAGCAACTGACATCCTGTCATAACCTCTTGACCTTAACATTTTAAACACACATTTTCTCTAGATGCCCAGGAATTTGTTTTTACAGTTGTATTTTATCTCTGCAGAACCACACCTTTCTGCTTAGTTACTTTAAGCTGAACAAACTGTGGTCTGTCAGTGTCCCTCTGAAAGGGTGATAACTCTTGGCAAGCTGGGACTAGAGAGCCAGGGAGGGAAGTGGTTCCTCCTTGATCAGTTCTGTTTGTGAAAACTACGAGTCAGGCTTACTTTAGGGTAAACTTGGGAGGTGAGGGACCATGTAAGACATTCAAGTCAGCTTATTTTTAAAAATGTCACTGGTTTTGTAGAGGCATCCTTTCTTTGCTGATGTTTTACACGTACATGCAGGCCTTTATGTTCATTCCTGTTAAATGACATCTCTTGCTTTTACCTTGACAATTGAGGCCTAAGCTGTATAGTTTTTGTTTTGTTGCAGACCAAAGGTAAAGTAATTTTAAAATTATTAATAATGAGACAAACAGCCAGGAATGAGATAGAGCAGAGAGCATAAAACGGGGTCAGCAGTTCTCAACTGAAGACCTCAAGCCAAGCTTCTCTGCCTTTTTATTCAAAACCGACAGGAAGTAAGTTACAAAAAGAATTCAATGCAAATGAAGCCAATCTATTTAAAACCTTGATGCCTCAGGGTGAATTCCAGCCCAGGAAGTAACACTCCCTCTGTAGGGGGCCCCTTGCTGTTTCCTGTTTTGCAGGTAATGAACAGCTCACCTTCTAGGATCTGCCACAAGGGAAATCCTAACTTCTATATCTGTAATTTCTTCAATTCCTGAACAAGGGTTTTCATATAATATTTGGTATAAAGTTTGGCTTCCCACACGTATCCTGTGCCCATTTTCAATTGGATTATTTACCCTTATCTTGTGGTGAGGTGGGGTGGTTTATAAGTTTGATGAATAGCCCTTTTTGGTTTCTAGCTAATTTGTGAAAGAAAAGTTTGGACATCATAGCTAAGAATCTTGAGACATGTCTCTGGCTACTTCCTTTCCTACTGCAACAGCCACTCGGGGGCACTTGTTACTGTTGTTAAAGAGACTGGATTCCAGATTCCTGGATAGTTACAGTTCTTGGTTGAGCGAATATAATTGGAGTGGGAGGCACTGTGGGCTCACAAACCACAGTTTGGGTTGCTGAGAATACTAGCTTGACAGTTTTTGCCTCCAGGTCAAAGCACGAAGAAATTGATCTGGTGAGTTTAGAGGAATTTTATCAGGAGGCCCCACCAGCTATCAGCAAGCCCGAAGTTACCATGGGAGACCCTCACCAGCAAACCCTTGCACGCTTGGACTGGGAACTGGAGCAGCGGAAGAGGTAGTGTTTTTCTGCTTCCTGGACTTGTCAAAGAGAGTGGACAGTGGTGGGAGAGTGGTCTGCCATGATCCACAACCAAAACAGCAGTGCGCCGTGGAACCAACAGGATAATCTGTGAGGCCGGATCCCTTCTTGGGATCTGACAAAAACTTGACCAGCCTCATCAAGGGTAGTACTGCCACTGATGACAGCCATGAACAGAAAGCTGAATTACTTTATTCCTTTAAGATTTTAGTGTTCGAGACCTGATTACCTTTTGTACCATAAATCTCCTTTTGTATTTTGCCTTTCTTCTAAGATATAAGCATATCTCTATGGAAGTATAAGGTTTTAGAAACATTTTAAAAGATTACATTAGACTTTGTTACCACATTATAGCAAGTTGCAATTCACAGAACATTTATTTCCCACTTGGGCTTTTAATTTGCTTCTATTTTTGCTGTTACAAATAATTCTACAAGGCATGCTTTTTGCATTGAAGACTTATATTTATTAAATGTAAATGGAGTGCACATGATATATAACCTAATCTAAGCCTTTCTAAGAATACAGTGTACAGTGTAGAGTTTTTTGTTTGTTCATGTCAGGCTTTGCATGGTTACACTCTTTTGTTTATGCTGGCCTGCCCCTTTATTTTTGTACAAGAATTTGAGAGTTTGTAGTTGATCTTCTACACTGGAGGTAAAGCTGTTTTCATCCCTTGCTTTATTCAGTCAGAAAATGTATTCTGTGTTTTGGTCCATGTTACAAATTTAAACATTAAGTTTAATTCTTAGGGACTTGGTGTCACCTTTTGGCAGGTGATGCTAGCCTGTCACTGCCCTGTCCAGTCCACCACTTGCCCTGGGCACAGGCTGAGCTGTGACTGCCACTTCCCCGTGTCTCTGGACTGGAGTCCATAGACATTGCCCTCACTCAGGTCAATCTATGGGCCTTGTTTCATGTAGCTCCCAGGCCCATATATTTGTGAAAGAGTTGAGTCTAGCATCTGAAGTAAGATAAAGAGTAGAAGATGTAGTGGTAACAATCGTGGTTGTAGACAGACAGTATAGAATCAGATGGCCATAGATGTAAAACCCAGCTCTGCATTGCTTTTCTAATTGTTGTTGTAAACCATCAAGGCAGAACCAACTCATAGCTGACACTATGGTAAGGGGAGATGACCTGTCTTTCTCCTGTGGAGCAGCTGGTGAATTCCAACCACTTGCCTTTGGGATTGCAGTGCAGCTTCTTGCCACTAGGCCACCAGAGCTCCCAAGTTTTACATTTTACATTGAATGTAATACATTAAAAAAAAAAGTAATACGTCCTACTACTATTACATTTACTGAATAACTGTACAAGTTGCCTGCCTCTCTCTGTTTTAGTTCCCTCCCTTAGGAATAAGAAATATCTCTACCTTGAAAAGGATCAGTAAATCTTTTTTTTAGTAAGAATTTAATGCAGTAATCTTTTTTTAAACAACAAAAAAACAAAACCCAGCGACATGAATCTTTACTTCTGCAGAAGGCTGCTTATACTGCATCTAGTTGCAATAATGGTCTTAAAGGGCTCACCAAAACCCTGTATATAGCAGGTGCCCAGTAAACATTGACAGTTATCATGGGCGCTGTCATTGGGCAGAGTCTGGCAGTGAATGGACGTGTCAGGGTTTCCCTCGGGAGCATTGGATGATGGTGCTTGTCCACCCCCAACAGGCTGGCGGAGAAGTACAGAGAGAGTCTGTCCAACAAGGAGAAGATCCTCAAGGAGATCGAGGTGAAGAAGGAGTACCTGAGCAGCCTCCAGCCCCGCCTCAACAGCATCATGCAGGTGAGGCCCCGACCAGCTCCTTGGTGTGTCTTCACTGCCCTGTGGAACCGTGCCAACAGTCAGACACATCACCGTTCAGGTTTTACCAGGGTCTGTTCCCCTAGTTGGTATTACAATATTGTAAGGTGGTCTTGTCTGCTGTCCTGCCCGTGTGGTGCAGTCAGGTTGTATGCTGGGCTGAAGAAGCTGCTGCTTATGCTGCAGGACTCAGGAACAGACACAGATTTGCTTGGAGTGTTTTCTTCACCCAGCGGCCTCTGCTTTCAGAGTGTATTGATTTGTAACACGTACACTCTGAGACCAGCAGCCAGGAAATCAAAAGATGAATTTCATTGGGAAAGTCTGCTGTCAGGGATCGCTACCTGTACTGAAGAGCAATGATGTCCATCTAAGACTATGAGACTAAAGTGTGCCTGATCCAAGCCACAGTCTTTGCTGTTACTTGATGTATGTCAGAAAGCTGGACAGTGACTAGGGATAACAGAAGGAGAATTGATGGCTTTAAGCTCTGGTGCTGGAGAAGTATTGAATATATCATGAACTGCTAGGAAAACAAACAGGTTCATCCTGGAGAGGGTGAAACCAGGCTGCTCCTTGGAGGCAAGGATTCTGAAGCTTCATCTGACATACTTTGGGCATGTTACAAAGGACCAGTCCATGGAGAGGGACATCATGCTTGGGAGGGTGGAGTCTTCTCCTGTGTGATTTGCAGCCTCTGAAAACCCACTGGAGGGTCAGCTAAGGGTCGATTCTGACTCACCAGCACATAGCAGCATCAACAGTACTCTGAGAAGGTCAGGATGGATTGACATAGTGCCTGTAACTGTGGGCTGAGCATGTCAGAGATCACGAGGGTAGCACTGGATCGGGCCAGGTTCAGTTCTGTTATTTCTAGGGTCTCCAGGATTTGTAGTTGATTCGATGACACCTAACAACAACAAACGTGTACTCACTAGCCCAGTAATCTTCAGACATGCTGCCCATGGACATTCAAGACTTCCTTCACTTTATTGTGCTTCAGCAGATCTGCTTAATGTAAGAACTTTGCTCATACTTAACCCTCCATCCAGTTTCTGATGCTGTAAATCTTTGTGGAAAGATCCTGCCTGTCCTTCTTCCTCCCAGTAACCAGCCTTTTGATTTTGTCAAAGATTTGGCTAGATCTTTATTTTCCTTCTTCAACTCTGGGGATAGAATGAAGAGTTGTTAACAGAAGTATTCTCTTCCCATTTCCTTTTGGCCCCCAATCCAATCATTTGTTTTCTAGAGTGATTAAACTCCAGATCCCTGTCACTACTTGATATTATTAGTCAATCTTACTGTCAGTTGCTTGGGAAGATATCTCATTATGGATTTTATTGTTTCTTTTCCTGAGTGCCAGTGGTCTTGAGAACCTTTCGGATGTTAACCTGCTAGCATTTTGAGTAACTTCTGTGAAGAGCTCGTGAGAGTTTGTTGACCATTTTCCTGTTGGGTTTCTTGTAGTTCTTTGTATATCCTGGAGATGAATCTTTTGCAGATTCCCACCTCCCCTATTCTGTGACTAATCTTTTTACTATTATATTGGTGTCTTAGGATGAACAGAGGTCCTTAATTGTCATGTACCTTAATTTTTAATCACTTCCTTTAACGTTAGTATTTTGCTGTCCACTCTAAGAAATTCTCCTGTGTCCTATGTCCTATGGTCATACATGGTCATGGAGATAATCTGTGTTTTCTTTTTTGATGTTTGTAGTATAAAGTAAGGATAAAGATTACTCTTTCTTTTAATACACTAGATGTTCAATTGAAGACCTATATTGTTGTTTTTAGGTGCTGTCAAGTTCAGTACAACTGATAGTGACCCTGTGAACAAAAGATCTATGTTCTATCCTGCGCCTTCCTCACACCTCCTGACACACTATAGCCCACCGCAGCAGTCATCATGTCAATCCACCTGGTCGAGGGTCTTCCTCTCCTTCGCTGACCCTCCACTCTTCCCAGCTTCATGTCCCTCTCCAAGGAATATCTCCTAGCAGCATGCCCAAAGTATGTGAGGCAAAGCCTCATCATTCTTGCTTCCTAAGAGCAATCCAGCTGCACTCTCTCCAAGACATACCGGTTTATTCTCTTGGCCGTCCATGGGATGTTCAGTGCTCTTCTCCAACACCATAGCTCACAGGCGTCAATTCTTCTGTCATCATTCACAGTAGGACCACTTTTATAAAAATAGATATCTGTGATTTGTTTGTATCTCCTTGTACCTCACTGTCCTGATTACTGTGGCTTTATCAGGCTCCTTGCGTAGTAGTGTAAGGCCTACAGCTTTGTTCCTCGGGATTGTCTTGATTATTTTTAACCATTTGCGTTTCCATGTCTTTTACCAGTTGGTTTGTTTTTACTTCACCATACTACCGTTTCTTTTGGGATTGCATTGAATCTGTAGACCAGTTTGGGAGAAAACTTGATACTTAAGACAATAGAAAATCTTCCAAAACATTGGCATGTGGCTTATAGCTTCTTTCGTTTGTTGTTACTGTGTACCAACTCATAGCTGACCCTCCAGCAGGTTTTCAAAAGCAGTAAATCACATGGGAGGAGACTGCCTATCTTTCTTCTGCAGAGCAGCTAGTGGATTCGAGCCAAGTGCCTTTAGACTGAGAACACAATTCTTTACCGCTGGGCCAGCAGAGCTCCCTATTTTTATTTTTATTTAAGCTCCATTTATTTAGTGTTAGATGTTTGATATTTTCTCTAGAGCAATTGCAAGTGGCTTCTTTTTATCATTTCATTTTCTTACTATTTCTTGCTAATACAGTGAAACCCACAGGAGCTGAAACTTAGCAGGATTGTGTTACTTTTTTGAGTCTTGTGAGTTTTCTGCCTTTTAAAGGGGGCAAAGTTACTGTTTTTCTGCCACACATTTGGGGGGCGAAATTTGAGTTTTCCTTTTCTGACCATTTTCCACTTTGTGCTGACTTTACTAACTGTTGCTGTTAAGTGCTGTCGAGTCGCTTGCGACTCATAGCGACCCTATGTACAACAGCCCTAAGCTCTGCTCTGTCCTGTGCCAGTCGCACTATCTCTGACACTCCCATCCCGATTACCACAGTCCCTGAATCAATCCACCTCATAGAGGGCCTTCCCCTCCTGTGCTGTCCCTCCACCCTCCTAAAGGAATTGTTTACTTTTTACGTTTACCTTTTTGTATTCTATTAGTTTATGATAGGTCATTGATGTAAGTAAGTAAACGTGAACAATAAAAAAAGGGCTGTATGTGGATTACTTTACAAACTGAAACAAAATTATTGTTTTGTTGCTGCAGGCATCTCTACCAGTACAGGAGTACCTGTTCATGCCGTTTGACCAGGCCCACAAACAATATGAGACAGCCAGACACCTGCCCCCTCCTCTCTATGTTCTCTTTGTTCAGGCCACTGCATATGGCCAGGCCTGTGGTGAGTATGGGCGCTGGGACAGGACGGGAGGCTGTGGGAACCGCAGTGTGGTCCATGCTGTGGAAGCCCCGGCTGTGAAGGAGCTCTCCCGGTCCCCTGAAGCTCGCAGGTGACAGTCCCTGCCTCCCCTCTGCACTGCTCAGCATGGCTGCCCTGACCAGCTGGCCTGAGGCCGACATTTCGGGAGAGGACGGCTTTGAGTCCTTCATGAGCCTGGCCAGACAGGCTGTTGGGTGTAGAGCCCAGATAACCTGTCCAGGCTCCTTAGTGGTGGCCGAACTCGCCTCATCCAGCATGCTTGGCAGGCAGATCTGCACCTGTCGAGAAAGGGCTTGGTGAACACGGGTGCCAGCCAGCTCTCCCAGGTTCTCTCTGTGCCCCTAAACAGGGTTCACTGTTAAAGTACCAAGTTAGAGAATGTGTCCTCAGTCAGAGTCTGTTGGGGCTACGAGAAGTTTCGGGGTCCTTTGCCTGTTGCTCTGATGCAGCTTCCACTCAGCACCTAAATGTCTCTCCCAGCCCCCGCCACCCACTGCCACCTCACTGGATGGACATCCGTTGCACAGTGCATGCCTCTTCCCCAGCCCTAACACCAGCACATTACTGTCTCTCTTCTTGTGTCTTCCTGTGCCTTCTGCTCCCCCGACCCCTTCTCCCGTTTTCTTTCCATCATCAGCTCACATGAAATCCTCCTCCCAGCCCCCTAGGCAGGGTGAGTAATTTCCTTTTTTCTTTTGTGTTGTAAATTACTGGGTTGCCTGTCACATTGGGTTGTAGAACTGCAGGGTGAACACTTCTCAGAAAAGTAGTGGTGCTGCGTCCATCTTGGGTTTGAGTTTTGGTACCGAGGAGTGTGCTCACCGTTAGTCTCACGTGATGCTTATCCGAGAAGCTGTGCGTTGGGTTCTTTATTAAATGATAGGGGAAAAGGCTTGAGTTTCCCCAGCTTGTTCTCCTTCACTTGGAGAATGGGCTTTGTCCTTCTGCCCCTAGACTGCACAGAACTGAGGCAAAAGCAGCGAGCATCCAGTTCCAGAGAGAACTCTGGTGGCCTAGTCAGTAGAGAGTTGTGCTGTCAACCCAAAGGTGGACAGTTCAAATCCACCAGTGGTTCCCAGAAGGAAAGGTGGGCATTCTCCTCCCATGCAGTTTACTGCCTCTGAAAATTCCTCTGAAGGGTCAGTTTTGAGTCAGTTCCCACTCGATGGCAGTGAGTGAATGAGTTTTAGCAAGTCCCAGAGCTGGCTGGCTTGTGTAATCTCAGCTTCTTTCTTTAGCAGCTTTCCTCACAAAGCCTTTTCTTGCCTTCAGATAAGACATTGTCTGTAGCGATTGAAGGCAGTGTGGATGAAGCCAAGGCCCTATTCAAGCCTCCTGAGGACTCCCAAGGTAATGGGGTATTTGGAACGCCTCCCCTAGGAGTCTTCTGTAGCTCATCCCTCCTATGGGCAGTGCCTGTCCTTTCAAAATGGACTGTCCTGGTTCTGCCTGGCCTTATCCACTTGATAAACAACATGCCTCTGGTAACTGTGAACTTTGATAAATGTCGATAGTTGTAGAGGGGCTTCAGGCCTTTTGTTCATAGGGTTGCCATGAGTCATGCTCGACTCAAAGGCAATTAACAACAACAGCAGCAGCAACGTCTTAGTGCTCAGGAGCGGGCAGAGAGGACCTCAGTTCTTGCAGTTAAATGCCACCCTTGGTTTCAGCCACGTGCGCTGTGGCTTCAAAATC